TTGGACTTGTATTGCCGAGTATCGAGATGAAGAACAATTCTACATCCATTTCAGCTGCCGTAGTTGTATGAAGCTTCAAAATTTGCTGCTCTACAGTGTTAATGGAAGTCCTTGAGCATGCAGAGGAGGGGATTGTGTCAGCTAGCTGGAGGAGGAAGACGAAACAGAGTTGAAGCTACTGTATCCTATTGGGTTGGGCCTAAGAGTTGAAGATAAACAGTTGGGTCATTGAAGGATTGGGCCGAATACAACGCCCAAGCCCATATACTGACTAGGAATTACTATATGGGCCGGTCAATGGTCTGATTCGGTGCGCAGTGGAGTGGCCAATAATAAAATATATTTCTTTTAGAAGAGATTGAGAATATTTTTAAAAAACTAAATTAATAAAATTAACTATTTTGCCATTAAAATATCCCAAAACTTTTAAAAAATTTAATAATATTATACTTATACATAAAAACATTAAAAACAAAAATTAAAAAAACCTCTAGAAACTTTAATATATGTTTCAAAAATATAAATACTCTTAAAACTGTTTTAAAAAAAAATTCAGGAGTATTGTTAATATTATTAAATTTTTTAAAAAAATTAAAAAACATTAATATTTTCAATCTTCTAAGAAAATTTTAAAATTTTATTGTTAATGTATGGACGAAAATTAGTTATTTACATTCTTGATTATTTTTCCCTCGATTTTCTTTTTCTCCTCTTCTCCAACCGATAGCTCATTGTGTTTTTTCCCTTTCTTAAATACCCTCTTTAACCAATCGATCAACCTTATAATATTTTTTTGTCTCTATAAAATCTAGTGTTTTAAAAAAGAAAATCCATGTGAATAAAAAAAATTATAAAAAGAAAAAGAAAAAAAAAGCATAGTTTTACATCACTAACCACCATAAGATTGGCTTAGTGTTCATTCGAACTGACGAAAAATAAGAACGGGTCAAATTACATTTACCACCTACCTAAGATTTAAAACTCCCTACATTTTTGTGGTAACGGAGATCACTGATGTCGAAGTCTTTTCAAGTTCTATGTCCAAAAATTGTACCACCAATACTTGGCAGGAGAAGTTGTTCATTTTGGGGGCTTGAAAATACTTGGAGAACAAACATAGTGAGACCAATTGGAAGCTCACATACCAAGCAACAACAAGAATTTGAAGCATCCCTACAAAGTGATGCAATTAGCATTAACAGAAGAGGGCCTGAATTGAATCCCTCACAACGAAACTGTCCAAGAATCACAAACCAACTGAAGGAGCGTCAAGTTTTGGCTTGAATTGAGATTGACAAGACATTAGTTTCAGAAAAGCTATGTTTGATAGAGATAAGCTGTTCTTGAGCTTAATTTGGAAAAAGCTTTTTCGGACTATGGTAACCTTAACATAAGCACGACGCATCAACGTACGGATGAGCATAAAGGGTATGTTCGTGAGAGTTTTCATATAATAGTAAGACATCCAAAGGTTTTGTTTCGTGAGAGGTTCACCAATACCACCTTGTGGCTAATGTAATCATTTTTATTGACCACAAAGATATGTGAGATCCCACATTGACAGGAGAGAAGAACGAGTGTCAGCAAGGATGTTGGGTCTCGAAGGGAGGTGGATTGTGAGATCCCACGTCGATTGTAGAGGGAACGGAACATTCTTTATAAGGGTGTGGAAACCTCTCTCTAATAGATGTGTTTTAAAACCTTGAGGGGAAACCCGAAAGGGAAAATCCAAAGAGGACAACATATGCTAATTAACAAATAACCGAGAATTAGGAAGGAAATATAACGTTAGCATACCTTCTTTTTGCTTGCTCTGATCTGATAATGAATCCTGATGCGCCAAACACAACATCCAACAAGATAACAAAACTGTAGTTCAGGGATCTGAGTATCTATACAAAGAAAAGAAACAAGAAACTTGTTCTTAATAGGTGCACTGTTCTTGATAATCTACAGAGAAAGCTAACTATACAGTACAGGGAAGTTCAAACGAGAATTTGAAAACAAAACTTGATTCCGCAACATAAGATCATAAATGCAGTTCATCTGAGCACCGTAACACTGTTATTTCAAACTTCAAAGTGATATCTATGTCCTTCAAAGTGATATCTATGAGAAAATACTACCTCAAAATTTGCGTATGTCGAAACGAAAACGAGAATCCCAAATATGGCTCTCACAATCCACCATGAACAAAGCATTTTGTTGGTAAAGATGTGTTCAAAGTTGGAACAATTTGCAAAGATTGCAGTGCATGTCTGCATATTCACAATGAAACTCATAAAACAAACAAAAAAGTTGTGCAGAATATGAACAGCTAAGGTTAGATAGCTTACCCAGACTGCAAATAACGATGCTGTTGTTAACCATTCATGGTATTCAACAACATCACCAGTGAGTAATTTCCTCAGAAGAAACATCATATCGAGAAGTGACAGGAATAGTCCAATGGCTGGAAGGACATAAAAGAAAGTTTTTTCCAGAAGACTTTTCTGAAAGTTCTGCAAAAAGAAGATTTGCAAGAAATCAATATGAACATACCATCACTTACAACAGTCTTTAAGTTGCATAAGAACAACACATAAGAACAACTCAAGTGCGTGTTACAGTTTTTATCTAGTGCCACCAAGTGCGCTTTTTGTAACAGCCCAAGCCCACCGCTAGCAGATATTGTTCTTTTTGAACTTTTTTTTTTTCGGGCTTCCCCTCAAGATTTTTATAACATATCTACTAGGGAGAGGTTTCCACGCCCTTGTTTCATTTTCCTCTCTAACTGATGTGGGATCTCACAATCCACTCCCCTTCGGGGCAGAGCGTCCTCGTTAGCACTCGTTCCCTTCTCTAATCGATGTGGGTCCCCCTAATCCACCCCCTTCGAGGCCCAACGTCTTTGTTGGCACACTGTCTCGTTGGCACATCACATCACAGGAGAGGTTTCCACACCCTTATAAAGAATGTTTCGTTCTCCTCCCCAACCGATGTGTGATCTCACAATCTACCTCCCTTTGGGGCCAGCGCCCAGCATCCTCACTGGCCCTCATTTCCTTCTCCAATCCATGTGGGCCCATCCACCCTCCTTTGGGGCCCAGCGTCTTTGCTGGCACACCGCCTCGCTGACACATTGCAAGAGAGGTTTCCACACCCTTATAAAGAATGTTTCGTTCTCCTTTCCAACCGACGTGGGATCTCACACTTTTGATCCATGTTATGAATTTTTCCAATTTCAATCGTTTAAGATGCATAAATCATTAGGTGACCAACAAATTACTGAATCTAGCATGGAAAAGGCTCAATTTTCTCCTTAATTAACATCTTAGCTTAGTAATGAAGGAGAAATATGATAAGAGGAACATACCCTCCGTCTCCTTCCATCATTTTTCAGAGTAAGTCCGAGCAATACAGTAATGGTGACAGTCAAAACATTTACTCCAAAACCTAAGGTCGTAAGAATCGTTAAGACACAACAATTAAAGACCAAACAGAGGCAGAGACCAGAAATTAAGGCCAAACTTCTAACATGAAAGGATATAGATTCATAAAACACTTAGAAAACCGATGTCCATTCCAAACCTGCAAATACAAACGGACAAATTTCAGTTCGCTACCATTCAGTGAATTGTTAATATCAATGGGAAAAGAAAAAACAGGCTAATCATCCCATGAAAACACAGCGCTTCAGAACGGCAAGAATGCATTAATGGCAACAAAAATCTTAGTGAGGAGAAACTTACATAAGGAGATTGTGGGCAAACAGGGAGCAAGAACCAGCCCGCCATTGTCGTCATCGCCGCCGCTGAGTGCAGTCCCTGCACTGTTTTTTACCATAACAAAGAGGAGAACGATGGAAAACAAAATAAATTTTGCTCCGCTAGAATATAATGGGGAAATGGGAAATGCAATGCTGACGAAAATATTCTGAAAAAGAAAGGCATAAAGAAAAAAGGATGGATCAAAAGAAATCTCTGAGCATTACCAGTCTCAGTCTCAGTTGCACTCCTCCACCTTCTTGGAAAATAAAATATTTAATATTCTATTTGACCTTTTTAAGGGTTTTTTTTTAATTTATTTAATTAATTATTTGCAGATATTATTTTAATCACTACCCTTCCATATTAATTAATACTCATCAATTTCCAATAGTTTAAGAATTTAAAAATAATTTAATAAACAACACATTTTTTACGACAAAATGATGTAATCTCAATTTTAAAATAAAATAGTATATATTAATTAAAGTTTTTTTTTCTTTTAGTGCTTTTGTAAAGTGGCGGGGGACGGGGAACGCGTATAGAGTGGGTTTCATACGTGTCTTCCACCCCCATCAAACGTAATAGAAATAAATGTAAGTATACAAATTATTAACTATTTATTTTTAAATTATCCTTGGAATATAAATTTATTAAAATTTTGGATAAATAATTGACATGATAATATCTAAAATGGTGATATTAACAATTGTCTAAATTTATAAAAATAAATTGGGTACTGTTTGAAAACTAATGATAACGTTGAAAGATTTATATATGTAATTTAGTTTAAATAAGATTGAGATTTGTATAATTTTTAAAAGTGGTTTGATTATTAAATGATGAGTTAACTTACATCTATATTTACCCTTTAACATCTATAAACCTTTTACTCCTACGACATTAATTTGCGTTAAATTTTTATTAAAAAATTTCACTACATATCGTATTTATTTTAATCAATGTTTGCTGAATCCACCACACTTAAATGATGGTGAGAGTTCTCTTATTTATAATCATTTACAGAATACAGAAATATGGTAAATTACAAATAATATGAAAATAACAATAAAATGAAATAATAATAGATGAATACAATATATTTACCTTTAATAAAAGGGCAAATATGGTAAGTCGTAATATAAAACAAATACTAGATATTTACCTTATAATGAAGGGTCGGATTATGTTTAACTGACAGCCCTACCAACAAACATAAGATCTTTGAAGTTGGTAAATAGAAATATGAAAACATGAACAGAGAGAACAAAGGCTTCAAAATTAGGTTGGATGAGCCAAGTTTTTTTCTACACCTACATACATTTCATGTTGGCATTAACCAGAGGAGGAAGAAAATGAAATAATATATATAACCAATGGGATTCCATTTGTTACCCATAGAATATGACTAATTTTTTAGAATGCCATCAACACCTTTAAAGTGGCATCAGTCTTTTGTATCTGAAAAACCAAACAAATGCAGAAAATATGATAATCCCACTTACTCCTGTAATTAGAAGAACCCACTTGAATGCATCAGGATTCCCAAACATTGGTATTTCAAAATTCATGCCAAATATTCCAGCTACCACCCCAAAAATGGCAACAACGAATGTTGCAGTTGTGAGCAGTAGCTCAAACTGGATCAACTGATTCCGTACGTTATCCTGCACATGAACATCTTTTTGAGTAATTGGAACAAAAAAAAAAAAAGTGATATGATACGACACCATGATCGGCAAGTTTTGAATTCTCTAGCAGTTCAGATGTTCTTTAGGGGAAAAGGAGGGAATTTAGAAGCATTAACCAAATTATAAATTTTTTTCTTCAATTCATATGTTTATATCAATATTGGGATCGGAGCAATTTTCTTGGGAATCACAGGCAAGATGGAAAACACAGCTAGTTCATTGGAGGAGAAAATGGTAGAGATGGTTGAGAAACAATCAGGAACGGAGGAAAAGATGTCGAGGATTGTTGGGAGAGGAGTCCCACGTTGGATGAATTAAGGGGGTTGATCATGGGTGTATAAGTAAGGAATACATCTCGACTGGTATGAGGCATTTTGCGAAAACCAAAAGTAAAGCTATGAGAGCTTATGCTCAAAGTGGACAATATCATACGATTTTGGAGGTCCGTGATTTCTAGTAGAAGATGGATCTAAAATTTGGGGCCTACCAATATTATAATCGAGAACCCAACAGTTGAGTAGATAGAATGATGTATGAACTGACAAAGGAAAAAGAAAGAACATGAGCAGCATACCAACTGGATGTTGATGAAATCTTCTGTGTCATCAATGTACTCCTTCAACTATAAGAGGGAAATGAAATAAGATTGTTAGTTTTATCCCGGTGGAAAAGGAGAAAAGAAAACTAATTTTAAGACTCATGCGCAATGAGTACCGATGTCAACTTGTTCAAAGTGCTGTCGATGACAACAAAATATGCTTCAAGAAGCATCTCGAGCTCCTCTATACTTTCAGTGGCACTTTCTGAACTTCTCATGCTCTCGTGCCGACTCCTTGCAATGCTAAGGCTCTTCTCAAGCTTGCGAGTTTCGGGCGGTGAAGATACAGGAGAAACAGGAGCTGAAATAGATGCTCCATCGATTGGCCTGTATCCAGTCACAGACTGATCGCCATAAACAAAGGACTCCATTCTCATTTTCTTCTCGGTGAGATACATTTCTGCCATATCTCCATCATCATCCATGAGCTGCTCTATTTCATCCCTAACCTAAAAAGATGCAGCTCAAATAGAGAACATAGAGAAAAAATTGTGCAGCTACCCATTTACTTGCATAAACCAGGATCACTAGAGTGAATGCAGAATACCTTCTGAACCCTACGAGTCAGAGCAACAAGTCTGCTTTTCAAGCGACGGACACGCTCCAAATTTAATGTACTGATTTTCGACGTAAGTTCATCTAGCAATGGATATGCTTCAATTTCTAATTCTGCAGCCTTTAGGGCAACGAGCAAATTATATGAAGAAATCATCACATTAGAAGAACAAATTACTAGCTAGTAAAAATATGATGAAATAAATCAAGGATGGCTTTATTTAATAGTATGTTATCATTATTGCTAAGCCAGAAAGTCCTCAACAAATACAGCAACACCATAGTATAACTTGATCAGTGATGCCCTAATTAGTCGGAAGTCAACAGTGATAAACAATACAAGCAGGAGAACCTTTAACTTCAAATCTTCAATCTGATGAATTTGAAATGAGTAATAATTAATCTTACACCGAAATGCATGATAATCAGACCTGTTAATATGTTTCAAATGTCAGTATGGAAAAGCATTCCTTAATCTTCTGTTTCTACTTTTTTTAAACAAAAATTACGAACTCAAAACACGAACAATTAACATGCATGAAACAAATAAAAGCAAACAGCTCAAACTTCTATTTCTACGCACCTGGGAATCAAGAAATGTACAAGCTGCCTCCAAAGCAACTTCTAAAGCCCTGAACTCAAAGGGCAAATAATCAGGAGAGGTGGTGTTTGCAAATAAATTATCGAAATTCCTACTTCCTCTTCTTCGATTTAAGTCAGCTCCATGATTTCCATCATTTTGCCAAACCTCATCGACCCCAGTGGTTTTCAAACGTCTTTGTAGCTCTACCACATACTGCAATACATAACTATCAAGTGAATTTAACAGCAAAACTTCTTCAGCTGTTATGATACATCGAATCTGCTCCAGATTGACCACAATAGCCTTCTCTCTACCAAGAATTGTGGAAGGGTAAACAAACAAAGGATCAAGCAGGCGCAAATCACGTGCAGGTAGATCACAACGACGCATCACAGTGAACTTATCGATCTCAATAATCTGGGAGTTCCCAGAAGAATCTACCCGGATCCAAGATCTTAGTCCCTGGCCTCGCTTCTTCAGCCCTAAAACATCCACACCTTGAAATGGCACCCTTCCGGAGGCCGATGGCCTATTATTAACAGCCTCCCTAACATTTATAGCAGATGCAGGTTTCGGAGGAAGCAACCGCTCTTTGAGATCCGCCATTTACACAAATATCTAAATGAAACAACATAAAATAGTTGGAAATCAACACATACCAAATCAACCACATATATCTAAGCTGAATATAATATTGTAAAGCTATATAAACGCTCGTATCGAATCAATCAATCACGCAGTTCCAGTTCGAACAAACAATAATCAGCAACATCAAAAAAATTCAATATCTTAAATGCAATAGTGATTAAACAATAAATTAGCAATGCTCGTGCAGTCTACAAGGGAAAGTAACAAATCAGTAATTCTCAACCAAATCTATTTCTAACTGGAATAACTCAACCCTAAAAATGTAACTGCAACCGCAGGTATCAAATCATATAACGAAACAACAGAGGACGAAAAGAAAAAGAGAATCACCTCCCAAGGAGAACAAAGGCGGCGGTTCTCAGAGAGCGTACAACAGATACAAATATAGAATTCCTTCTCACGAGCTCGGAAATGAAAGATTCCACAGGGGAAAACCTATTCAGTTAAGAATTCAACATCAAAAGATGAAAGAAAACCTAGATTGCAGAGGCGAGCGAATGAAGCACCAAAAGGCTGAGAATTCCAATTGCCGTATGAGAGAATGATGAACAGAGATTGAGGACGGAACCGATAATTGATCAAGAAGAATCAAGAAACCGAGCCTACCAGGTTCAAGAATCTCAGCATACAGTGATGCTGACCATATCATCACAAACAAAATTAACTATCAATTATTATTTCTCAATTATGGCAAAATTTAATTTCTCTCTCTCTTTCTTTTTAGTTAAATTATACCAAATACATTTAACAATATTAGATACTTTAAAATGTTTTATTTTATGGCAAAATTTAATTTCTCTCTCTCTCCTAATTAAATTATACCAAATACACTTAACAATATTAGATACTTTAAAATGTTTTATTTTACTTTTAATTTCTTTTGGTAAAAATTAAAACTTTAAAAATCTAGTGTAAATTAATTTTAATTGCTTTAAATTATTATTAACGATCATACATAGTTAAACATAACCCATTATTATGTTAGACATTTAAATTATAAATTTTAACACTTAGTATTTAATATATATTATTCTTCATATATTGTTTTAGGTTAGTTTATAATTCATATGAAACATATTACTATAGTATTTTTCAAATATGAATTAATATATTATTCACTAAGTTTCAATAGTAAATATTTAATTGTGAAAGAAAAATGATTATTAAAATCAAAATACATATTAACATAATAACATGGTTCTTCGTGAAACTAGCGTTATTCAAACAAATTAATTTTAAGAGAGAAAAAAAAAAAAAAACAAATCCAAATAAATATGCTAAATAAGGATTATATATGTTAAATGGATGTAACTTAAAATTAGTATTTAATAAGTTTGAACTTAATTAAAGGAATCTCTTTTCAAACAATAATATTTCCTATAACTTAGGAAGATATGTTTCAATATTTGTAATGATTTGTTATCGATCTAGCACAAAAAAATTGTTTCCTTTTAAATTTTGATGGATACCCTTCATCGTGAGGTAAACCCGTGTTCACAAACTCTTCTCGAATTGTTATTTCCAACACAAATGAAATACCCTTTTTATCGGAGAAGTAACAAAATTAAAATTAGAAACACGTCCCTAAGAGACACAATTGGATTACATATTTTTTTTCATTAATAAATAAATATGATCATCTCATCCTCTTAATGACAAAAAAAAAAAAAAAAAAAAAACA